ACTACAGCTACTCCAACACTGCTGAGTGATTCTCCACACCTGAAATACCACCTCACGATGAGCTCTGCTGTCAACTCCCGCCCGCATCACACCGAAATAAATTGCAATGATGAACCTGATGTTGATAGAACTTCTCCTGACAGCTGAACGGTGTTGACCAGACCACACACTAGAAGGTGAAGGGACGACGACGTTTCGGTCCGTCCTGGACCATTCTCAAGTCGACTGTGATTCTCAAGTCGATTGCGTTCTTACTCTGAACGGTGTGGATCATCATACCTCTTTGCCCGAGTCTAATGATAATAATAAGACTTTGCACGAGTCTAATGATGTATAAGACTTCACGCCTCAGGCTTTAAGGCACTCGTTGCCCTCACCAGCAGGTACAAAGGTGGTTTAACGTGAGAAATTGTTATACCGAGTCGTGGCTATCATTTTTTTTTTACGTGGAGAAAACGAGTTTAAGAGTGACTGCTTCCTAGAGGGGTCGCACGTGCTATGGATATCGTAAAACTCATTATAACTTAAGGTTATCTTGAGATGGTTTCGGGGCTTAGCGTCCCCGCGGCCCGGTCCTCGACCAGGCCGCGGTGATAGAGAACAAGGAATATTTTACGACACCAAGAATTAGACAAATACGCACACACGCTTCCATGGCCACTGCCTCTATCATATGTTGATGGTCTGAATATTCAGGTACCACACCCAGGGGTACAGCACTGGTACCACACCCAGGGGTACAGCACTGGTATCATACCCAGGGTACACCTTCAGTGGTGACACTGTCTGGCGGTGTCTGGCAGTGTCTGGCGGTTATAATAGACCACAAATATGATCGTGTTGTCGGTCCATTGACAGATGAATTGAACACGGCGGGTGCAGCCATGCTGGCGGTCTGTGGGGCTGTCGAGCGAAGGTTACCAGAGCCATAAACAGAACCACGTCTGCCTTGATGATATTACCTCGTCGCTTCCTCCGGCATCTCAGGCCAGCGACGAGGTCACCAGGTCACCAGTCATCCCAGGCCAGCGACGAGGTCACGAGGTCACCAGTCATCCCAGGCCAGCGACGAGGTCACGAGGTCACCAGTCATCCCAGGCCAGCGACGAGGTCACCAGCCATCCCAGGCCAGCGACGAGGTCACCAGTCATCCCAGGCCAGCGACGAGGTCACCAGTCATCCCAGGCCAGCGACGAGGTCACCAGTCATCCCAGGCCAGCGACGAGGTCACCAGTCATCCCAGGCCAGCGACGAGGTCACCAGTCATCCCAGGCCAGCGACGAGGTCACCAGGTCACCAGTCATCCCAGGCCAGCGACGAGGTCACCAGTCATCCCAGGCCAGCGACGAGGTCACCAGTCATCCCAGGCCAGCGACGAGGTCACCAGGGCACCAGTCATCCCAAACCAGCGAGGAAAGTACCAGGCCCTAGAGGCCAGCCAGCAACAAGGTGGCCGAGACCACATTATCTACAGCCTCCCCCGCCATCCACCCCTCAACCCTACATTACCACCATCTCTGCTGTATTCCCCGGAGATAAAGAGGCAGGTGGACGGAAATACACCTGGTGCCAGTACGGGAGAGGGGAGCGTCCCGTAGGGCTCCATCCACACCTCGGAGCCCTCACGCATTAGCAATCATCGTGGCAGTCACACCAGGCAGATAACTGGACAACCCGGCGCACCGCACCCGAGGAAAGACTTATCACCCGTCTTTATATAGATGGCGAGGGGGAGAGGTCGGCCATGTGTAACGGTAAGTCTTCTAGCGTGTAGTAAGTTGTAACAACGTTCTAATACGTCATAAACACGTTCAGCCAAGATGTAACAACTTTATTACAAGTTGTAACAAGCGGAAAATAGACACAGTTTCGGTTTGTGTTTCCAGGGAAGATACTAGATTTTAATAGTGAGTAGATTGCACCTATTAATTAACTCAGTGGTTCTGAATGGGTTGGTGTGGATTCGAACCTATGTGGTGGGTATTGCCTAGGGAGCCGGTCGGCCGAGCGGACAGCACGCTGGACTTGTGATCCTGTGGTCCAGGGTTCGATCCCAGGCGCCGGCGAGAAACAATGGGCAGAGTTTCTTTCACCCTATGCCCCTGTTACCTAGCAGTGAAATAGGTACCTGGGTGTTAGTCAGCTGTCACGGGCTGCTTCCTGGGGGTGGAGGCCTGGTCGAGGACCGGGCCGCGGGGACACTAAAGCCCCGAAATCATCTCAAGATAACCTCAAGAATCTCAAGATAGGCACACATGCCCCCAGACAACCAGGTCACGACATGGGGTCAAAAGGATTACAGCATGGAGCTCTACTGAACTCCCCGCATAGGTTCGAATCCTATATTGAGGTGGTTCCGGGGCTCAGCGACCCCGCGGCCCGGTCGTCGACCAGGCCTACTCATCACAATTCCAATGGATTTTCACACTGATGCAGCCACGTTAGTATGATTACTCTTTGTGTACTGAAAGAGAAGCGTCAGAGGAAAAGCATTCCTAGATGAGAGAGCCAGAGTGCACGGGGGGGGGAGGGAGGGGCAGGATTGTGTGAAAATCCTGGTCCAGTTTCAGTGGAAGCCTCAGCAAACCCTCTTATGTTCAGTGAAACTCCAGGTTGCAATCCTTTTGACCGTGTCGTAGCTTGGTTGTCTGGGGGGGGGGGGCGTGGGAATACCCACCGCAATAGGTTCGAATCCTCAACACGGCTCCTACAGATTTTCTCTTTAATCATAGTCTTAGCATCTTAGTGAGGTTAATAAGGGAGTGTTTAATTGACAGTCCCACCTCGCCCTTGGCCTGGAAGTCTGTGTCCCAGTGTAGCACAGATCAAACAAGGCGAAAAAGCACAGTAGGAAAGTCTTAATTAAAGAAGTGTTGCCAATGCGGGTTACGAGGGTGGGACTGGGGGGGGGGGACTGGGGGAGGAGGTAAGGGGGGACTGGGGGGGGGGTCTGTGTCAGGTGCTGATGTCGGCTGAGTATTTCCTGAGCTCAGCCGCCTACTTCAAGCTGATTCCAGCGTTCAGGGCACCATCACCACCACAGCCACACTTACTGCTGCATGCTAGACTTATACTCCTGCATCAAGCCTTTCTCTTTCATTAAGCCTTACTCTTGTGTCTAAGTCTTGCTGGATACAGCAGTCAGCAGATATGATGGGGAAAATAGGCCAGGAGTCAATGCATTAGACAAACGGAGGCTAGAATTGTGGGGGCCAAGAGCTAATGCTCAACTTTACGGGCATAAATAGGTAGAGTACACACATACACACACATCTGTGGCCCGGGTTCGATTCCCGGACCAGGCAGAAACAAATAGGCACAGTTTCTTTCACCCTGATGCCCATATTACCTAGCAGTAAATAGGTACCTGGGAGTTAGACAGCTGTTAGGGGCTACTTCCTGGGAGGGGGGGGGGGGAGTGTGAAATAAAAATTAGTCGTAAGTAAGAGTTGATTGATTGACAGTTGAGAGGCGGGACCAAAGAGCCAGAGCTCAACCCCTGCAAGCACAACTAGGTGAACACACACGCACACACACACACACACACAAACACACACACACACACACACACACACACACACACACACACACACACACACACACACACACACACACACACACACACACACACACACACACACACACACACACACACACACACACACACACACACACACACACACACACACACACACACACACACACACACACACACACACACACACACACACACACACACACACACACACACACACACACACACACACACACACACACACACACACACACACACACACAGTCAGTCAGCGGGACGAGGATTGCCAACAAGGCTCTTGATAGACACCTCTCTGTTTACAATCTTGCACTTACCGAGAGCTTTGTTTACTTGTTCTCACTCATCCACCACATCACCCCTTAACAAACAATAAAATAAAAAAAATAAAAAAAAACTGTCTGCAACCGCAGCTCCTCGAGGACACTTAAGCTGACAATAGTGATCTGTAAGTTAGCCATTCACAACACGCACTTGTTAAGTAACTAGCTAGAGCCCCCCGTGCATGGTTAACCACTTAGACTTTATATATATATATATATATATATATATATATATATATATATATATATATATATATATATATATATATATATATATATATATATATTTATATATATATATATATATATATATATATATATATATATATATATATATATATATATATCTGGGCGGTGGATGGTGAACTGTCATGTGTAATGAGGTATGTGTGGCCGCACATGTGTGTGTGTGTGTGTGTTTCTGGGATCCTTTTGGATGTAGGTTCGAACCCTCGTCACGGCCCTTGTGGATTTGGTCATGTGTTGCATGGGGGCATTGCGTAATATTTCTGCAGCGGAGGGATGAGCATGTGTAGACGATGGCTCGCTATTACGGGGCTGAGGAGTGCAGACGAAGCATCTTCATCTTAATATGACGAGCCGACGAGGTCGGTCTTGGCATCTACACGTGAAAATGAAGAAGGAGAATGGAAGAGAGAGACGAAGAGGCAAACGTAACAGTTAAGAGAATCAGTGCAAGCTAAATGTTCTAACCTTTCCTTTACTTTACCTGCTTCTTTTATTTCTTACCTTTTTCTCTTATTTCTTACCTCTTACCTTATTCTTACCTTCATCTTTCTCTTGCAAATCATCTCACATTCTACCCTTATAGTATTTGTCTCTTGCACTCTTGTGAACGACACCACTTGACAATGATATAGGAGAGTTGAACAAGCCGGGTGTTCTACACATGTATATACATACATATGTGACCGTGAGGAATATGTACAGGTGCAAGAGGAGGAAGAGACTGCCTGAGACTGCCTCCACCACACTCCCGCTCTCCCACCGTCATTCTTGTGGTCAGTTTTCTGTGAATCTGCGAGGCGTTCCAGCAGGGGCTGCCGTAGCCTCACCCGCCTCCGACACAACACAATACACTTACCAGACGGCCGAAGACACACAATGAATACCGGTAATCACAGACTCTCAAAATACAGGGCAAGGCAGGTACGGTTACTCACCAGTCCTCTGCAGATGCTGAGAGCCACGGCGGAGTCGTTGGCGCCCAGGAGAACGCCCGTGTAGAAGCAGCGGGCGTGGAGGGTGGGCGGCATGACCGTGGCTTCCCGCTCCGACTCGTGGCGCATGAGCATAGAGGGTGCTAGGAAGCCCGCGTCCTCCCACACCCGTACCGCCCACTCCCTTCCCAGTGCCTCCCACCTGTACACCCGCCCACCCTCACGCCCACTGCCGTCCTGAGCGGGCGTGTGGGCGTGTTCAGCCCTCACCCACACCTGCTCCGTGCCACTACCCGGCCTCCACGCTGCAACAGAGGAGAAAACAATTATTGGCGGGTGAAGTGATGTGTTGGGACGACATGTCGTGTAAGGATAGGTAAAGCGAAGGGTAATAGCTAATGACTATCCATATATAATAGCTATTAGCTATCCGTCAGATAGCTAATAGATGGATGAAGGATATGACTGACGGATGAATGAGGTAAGGATATAATAGACCAATGAATAAGTGAAAAGATGTAACACTTTCGACATTCTCTAGATCAACGCGTAACACAAGTACATGTATTTAAATATGTATAAACAGCCCGTCCTCGCATACAAAGATCCAAGCTCGTTGATCCAGCCGCCAAACCCCCTGTTTATGAATGAAAAGCTTTTTACACACGACTCACAACTGATGACGTCCGAACACTTCCGGAACAAATGCTTCGCTCACGTCCTCTGTTCGACCCACAATTTTATAAATGCTTCACCCACGTACTTCAAATACAAATAATCGCCAACAGAACCTAAACACCTAACCTAACCTATGCCTAACTATACCTACAATTTTAATGTATAATAATATTAATTTTTATATAAGAACAAACCCATTTTTATTACACAGTATGTTAAAATTGATGAATGCGGGGAGGGCGGCCGCTGCTTTAACCAGCCTAGTGTGAGGACGGGTTGTCTGGGGAGGACGGCCGCTGCTTTAACCAGCCTAGTGTGATGACGGGTTGTCTGGGGGAGGACGGCCGCTGCTTTAACCAGCCTAGCGTGAGGACGGGTTGTCTGGGGGAGGATGGCCGCTGCTTTAACCAGCCTAGTGTGATGACGGGTTGTCTGGGGGAGGACGGCCGCTGCTTTAACCAGCCTAGCGTGAGGACGGGTTGTCTGGGGGAGGATGGCCGCTGCTTTAACCAGCCTAGTGTGATGACGGGTTGTCTGGGGGAGGATGGCCGCTGCTTTAACCAGCCTAGTGTGATGACGGGTTGTCTGGGGGAGGACGGCCGCTGCTTTAACCAGCCTAGTGTGAGGACGGGTTGTCTAGGGGAGGATGGCCGCTGCTTTAACCAGCCTAGTGTGAGGACGGGTTGGCGAGTACAGCAGGATACAGCTGAGGAGGAGCAACAATCAGGCAACAATAACAGAAACATCAGCGCCCATCGAGGGTTGACAGTATTACCAGCAAAGCGAAACGTGTCTGTTGTTTCGCGAGGCTCAGATCATCACAGCTCAGCTTGTTCCAGCCAACCAAAATTGGGCAACAGCTGATGCGTCCTGCTCTGTGTGTGCTACTGCGCGGGCCTCAAGCCTCTGGCTGGCCCCATGATGCAACCCAGCCCCATGATGTAAATATTAATTACTAATTAGTTCAAAAATTAATCCCAAACTTCATTACGACTCACGAACACTAGGCAGAGGAAGAAGGGGCGGTGGGGGAGGGGGGGGGGGGTGTAACAGGAAGAGTGGGAAGGGGGGGAGGAGAGGAAGGAGGAACTATCTGAAAACTCGACCCCCTTCTCCCACCACCAACTACCACACAATAACTCTGTCAACACAGCATCTAAATGACCCCCAAAACAATGTGTCCCCGTGACCCTTGACCTCGCAGCCTAAGGTCATGAGACAAGACAGACAGACAGACAAGACAACCATCTTTTAACTGGTGACTGTGCTGCTGTTGGCTCTCTACCCTTGACACACTTCCCGTGTCCCCTCCTCCCCCCCCCCCTACATCCCCCCACACAAGCACTTGATGCCTGGCATATGTGTGTACCCCCCCCCTTCCCTCCCCCCCCCAGCCCCACATAGCCTCAACAACTACATACAACTCCATATGTTTCTCTAAATACAATTATACAGCAACAAAACTGCTCGCTTCCTAAGATGGAGAATATAGGCTGTATAGGGTGACGTCCACACGATATATTCTTAGAAATGTATATATTTTTAATAACTAATCAATGTTCTAATAATGATTTGTTTATATTATGATTGTGATGTAATGATAATGATACAATGATGACAAAATGATACCATTTTTGACAAAGGTGTTTCGCCACTTTTGGGCCGAGATGTGATGTCACTTTTGGCCGAGATGTGATGCCACTTTTGGGCCGAGATGTGATGTCACTTTTGGCCGAGATGTGATGCCACTTTTGGCCCGAGATGTGATGTCACTTTTGGCCGAGATGTGATGCCACTTTTGGCCCGAGATGTGATGTCACTTTTGGCCGAGATGTGATGCCACTTTTGGGCCGAGATGTGATGTCACTTTTGGCCGAGATGTGATGCCACTTTTGGCCGAGATGTGATGCCACTTTTGGCCGAGATGTGATGCCACTTTTGGCCGAGATGTGATGTCACTTTTGGCCGAGATGTGATGCCACTTTTGGGCCGAGATGTGATGTCACTTTTGGCCGAGATGTGATGCCACTTTTGGGCCGAGATGTGATGTCACTTTTGGCCGAGATGTGATGCCACTTTTGGCCGAGATGTGATGCCACTTTTGGCCGAGATGTGATGCCACTTTTGGCCGAGATGTGATGTCACTTTTGGCCGAGATGTGATGCCACTTTTGGCCGAGATGTGATGCCACTTTTGGCCGAGATGTGATGCCACTTTTGGCCGAGATGTGATGTCACTTTTGGCCAAGATGTGATGCCACTTTTGGCCGAGATGTGATGCCACTTTTGGCCGAGATGTGATGCCACTTTTGGCCGAGATGTGATGTCACTTTTGGCCGAGATGTGATGCCACTTTTGGCCGAGATGTGATGTCACTTTTGACCAAAGTGTGTTGACACTTTTGGCTAAAGTGTGTTGACACTCTTGACCAAGATTTTATCCCCACGAATTAAAATCATAACTCCAGCGATATGAGGAATATTTACATAAGGACGTATGCACAAAGCAACACCCAGACGTACAGAATACACTCATACACGCAGAATACACTCAAACACACAGAATACACTCATACATACAGTTCAACCCGTCCTTTTACTGACTGCACTACATTTCTTACTCGCCCAGACGTAAAAATGACGGTGGTTTAGGAAAATTAAACCCACCTTAGTCTTGACGATTTTAGGGACTAATGAGAATCGGCTGTGGATGGTTAGGTTAGGTTAGGTTAGGTTAGGTTAGGTTAGGTTGGTCGAGTTTCGACGCTTTTAGTTAGGCTAATCCACTATTTTTTTTTACGGAGGGGGAAATCGAGAGAACGGACTGAATACATACAGAACATGCATACATACTGGCCACTTATACATAAAGTTCTCTTATACATACAAAGTGGCAGTATTTATTCACAAATCTCCACTTATAACACAGCTTATTATACGTCAACCAGTTTACACAAGCAATCAAATGCACCACCATGGCCAAGTTTACATAAACCCCCACTGCTCATATATTGAGGTTTACTCACATTAGACCTATGGCGATTTACATAAAAAAGTTTTCAAGTTTGCTTTTAACAATGGCCGTGGGGTCTGTGAAGTGGGCCCAGGGGTCAGTGATTCCCGGAACCACCAACAGCAGGTAAACAGGTGGGTGCTGAACAGGTGGACGCTAAACAGGTGGGCACTGAACAGGTGGGTGCTGGACAGGTGGGCGCTGAACAGGTGGGTGCTGGACAGGTGGGCGCTGAACAGGCGGGCACTGAACGAGGGTGGGTTAGGGCAACCATTCAATGACTATTTATCCAGGAGAGTGAACTATCTGGCTCGGTCCATCCCACACACTCATGTCCCTACAAGATGTGGGAAGGAGGGGAGAGGGGAAGGTGGGAAGGGGAAAGAAGATAGGAGAGGGGAAGAAGAAGATGGGAGGGGGAGGGGAAGAAGAAGATGGAAGGGGCAGGAAGAAAACGGCCAAGTGACTAAGACAAATATTGAGGTCAGTTCCTCATGATTCTCTCGTTGAACTCGCCCCTCGGCCAGCGCGTTAATCTCCCCCTCACGCACGCACAAGCTTATGGTTACACGCGCTCGCTCATGCACGCACACTCACACACGCGCGTGCAGACGGCAAGCTCCTCTCCACCGGGACTCAGGTACAGGGGGACACAGGAACAGATCGAGAGTTGACTCAGTGTGAGAGGCTAGTCCACAGGAACATCAAGATTTACTGCCCAAAAATGTGTCCAAATTTACCCGCGGTGGAAGGAGGAAGTACATAGGGGAAGTTGGCCAAAAAGACGGAGGGGAGAGGGAGGGGGAGAGAGAGAGGGGGGAGAGGGAGGGGGGGGAGAGAGAGAGGGAAGAGGGAGGGGGGGAGAGGGGGGGGAAGAGGGAGGAGAGAGAGGGGGGAAGAGGGAGGGGGGAGAGGGAGGGTGGGAGAGGGGTTTAGGAGCGATGCTGTGTGGTCTTGAAAGAGGGGAGCGTAGGGCGGTGAAGCAGAGGTCATCCTCGGGCGGTGAAGCAGAGGTCGTCCTCGGGCGGTGAAGCAGACGTCGTCCTCGGGCGGTGAAGCAGACGTCATCCTCGAGCGGTGAAGCAGACGTCGTCCTCGAGCGGTGAAGCAGACGTCGTCCTCGAGCGGTGAAGCAGACGTCGTCCTCGGGCGGTGAAGCAGACGTCGTCCTCGGGCGGTGAAGCAGACGTCATCCTCGAGCGGTGAAGCAGACGTCGTCCTCGAGCGGTGAAGCAGACGTCGTCCTCGGGCGGTGAAGCAGACGTCATCCTCGAGCGGTGAAGCAGACGTCGTCCTCGGGCGGTGAAGCAGACGTCATCCTCGAGCGGTGAAGCAGACGTCGTCCTCGGGCGGTGAAGCAGACGTCGTCCTCGGGCGGTGAAGCAGACGTCGTCCTCGGGCGGTGAAGCAGAGGTCGTTCTCGGGCGGTGAAGCAGACGTCGTCCTCGGGCGGTGAAGCAGACGTCATCCTCGAGCGGTGAAGCAGACGTCGTCCTCGAGCGGTGAAGCAGACGTCGTCCTCGGGCGGTGAAGCAGACGTCGTCCTCGGGCGGTGAAGCAGACGTCATCCTCGAGCGGTGAAGCAGACGTCGTCCTCGAGCGGTGAAGCAGACGTC